AGTGATACCCTGGGCCTATTTTTCTGCTGCTGCCTCTGGCTCTAAGGGTCTCTAAAGAGGTGTATGAATCAGACCAGCCAAACTAGCCCACCAACCAACAGGATCTGGTTCAGTCTAATCCTAAATAAGTGGCTCATCTTTGTCTCCTCAGGGTCCAGCATGGAATTTGGAATAGAGTAAGGCTTCCACCCCGGTTCCCCAGTGGCTCATCTTCCCACAGTGGCCATCTCTCCCACCCCACTCTGTTGTGCTCAATGGACTCCAGTCCACGGTAAACAAAATCCTGTACTCCCATAGGTGACACAAAATGCTTCCTTCCTCTAAGTCTGGCCCACAGGCCATATATGGCCCTCGAAATAATTTGATCTGGCCCTGCCAATGCAACCACAGGCAGGACTTGAAATTCAATAAATCTAGGAGCTTTTTTCATGGCTAATTTTTAAACTGATAATTTTGTATGGCCCGCAAATTATGTTATTAATATCCAAATGGCCCTTGGCAGAAAAAAGGTTCCCTACCCCTGCCTAAGTAATACCTGTCTCCTCAAACACGTTGCTTCTCTCATATCCTTCTCAACTGGAAATTGCTACTTCTTTCACACCCAAGTTCCAAGGGTATGAGGGAGGAAAGGGAGTTTTCTTCTGACTAGTTCTTTCCTGGCTTACTATGATCTCTTCCATCTACCACAAAACCCAGCTCCAGCTTCCTATACCCCTCCTCATCACTACTGTTTATCTTTTACTTTTTAGGGCAGGAATTCTTAAACATGAATTTGGACAGGAAAAAGCACACATCTCTTTCACTAAACTCTAACTAAAGTTTAGCATTTTCTTCAGGTACAAACATTGGCAACACTCTACAGTAATTTTAGCAGTACCCAAGATTTCATAACCGTAATGTTTTCTAATTGGTTATTGTTGGATGATGAAAAGTTTATGGCTTTTGCCAGGCCGGCATGGCTCAGTGGTTGAGTGTCAACCCATGAACCAAGAGGTCCCCGGTTTGATTCCCAGTCAGGGCACATGCCCGGGTTTCGGGCTCGATCCCCAGTAGGGGGCATGCAGGAGGCAGCCGATCGATGCCTCTCTCTCATCGATGTTTCTTTCTCTCTATCCCTTTCCCTTCCTCTCTCTCTGAAATCAATAAAAACATATTTTTAAAAAGTCTATGGCTTTCTGCATGTTTATTTTGAAATTGGCTACCTTACTGAACAATTGTTCATTGGAATTGTTTTTCACTTGATTACCTTGGGTTTGCTAAACAAACACATTATAGAAAAATAATAATTTTATCTCTCAGTGAACACTTCAGTTTTCATCTTTCTTGATAATGGTGAGCAGTCCCTTCCTGAAACACTGTCCTCTGGCTTCACTGCCACCATTATATCCTACCTCTGTATCTCTTCTTTCTCTCTTGCTTTCCCTTAAATTCTTGGCCTGTTTCTGTGGTTCCACCCTGGACCATCTTCTGTTGTCCTTCTACACATTACATGCACATTGCCCCTGGGTGGTCTCATTCCCATGGCCTCACTTATCACCGTCTTCCTATCACACTTCCTAGACACCTGGAAATCATCCTAGTATCTGTCCTTCCTCCCCCATGTGCCAGCCCTCTGCCAACACAGCCATCAGAGGTTCCCTGCTAGAAACCTACAAGATCTGGTCACAGACACTGTACCTGAACACCACCATCTCAGGCACCAAAGCCAAGACGCCACAAGGCCAGGTCTACCGGAACAATGCCAAAAGTGATGACAGCTAATTCACTCTATCACCATCCTTCCAGTCACCTCTACACTCATCCCTGTTCTGCTCTACCCTCCACGGACTCGTCCCCCTGCAGATGTCTTCCTTCATAAACATTTCCACTGTGCCCTCAGAAACCCCTGTACAATGATAAATGAAAATGCCTACTCTTTTGCCACTCGGAGTAGGAGAGTGTGATCCTTGGACCAGTAGCACTAGTGTCACCCGAGAGCCTGTTAGAAATGCAAAATCTCCATCCAGTGCCCAACCCAGACCTACAGACCAGAATCTGCATTTTATTAAACGCCTCCAAGGCTTCATTCGGTGCAGCATGAAAGTTTGAGAAGTGCTGGCTTATGTCATCTGCCTCTTTATAGAACTTGTCTACCTCTTTGCCTTAATGGAAACCTCATTCTTCCCTGGGGACACCACAACCCTGAGGACGCCAATACTTGGAAGCCCTCTTCAGTGTAGGAGTCTCATTTTCCCACAATTGGTGTACGCTGGGGTCAGTGGGGTAGGCATTCACAGGGTGCCCCAGAGCCACTTTTAGACTGTCACCCTTCTGCCTGAATATAAAGCCCTTCCTTCATGTGAGACCTCCTCCATTCTCTTCTGGTGGCACCTGACCCCATAGTGTTTCTCCCCATTCTGGGTGACTGCAATGTGCTTTGGACAACCCATCAGCCTTCAACCTCTTTATTCCCTGACTGCCTCAACTTCATAACCTTTAGCTCTCTCTACTTCAGCTGCCTACACGCCTTACCACTGGCCAAACCGGTTTCATCCAAGACATCCTCTCTCGGGCAGCCCACACTATCTGACCACAACCTCACATTTTTCCAGCTCTCTTTTGCCTTCAGTCCTCCTAAGCCTGATTTTTCACCCCGTAGAGTCCTCTGGTACTTTAACCTCTCCTTTATCTCACAGGATATCAGCCTCTTCCTGGCCTCATCTCCTTCTCAGCCCAGGCTCAACCCCATAACTGATGACCTGAACCACTTTTTTACCAACACCCTCATTCCCATTGTACCCCTGCCTTCTATCCTACTTGCCTAGCAAAACTGCTGTGCTTACTAAATGTCAGGATCTGCTCTTTCTGCTCCTACACCACTGCTGCTGCAGTTGGCTAGAAGCAATCACAAAACTGTGGGTCTTGGCACCACTACAAATTCATGGCCTCCAACCTCATATGGGCCTTTAGAGCAACATGACAATCCCTTTACTCAGCTTTCATTGGCTCCCTTCCCATT